GCGAGGCGGAGCCGGCGGCCGCACCCGACGGGGAGCGCGGCGGGGCGCGGAGCGGCCCCGGAGGATGGGGAATGCGGCGGCAGGTGAGGCCGGGCAGGGCACCCCGGGGAGGCGGGGAGGGACGGGACAAGACGCGACCGCAGCCCCGGGGTCGCTCGGTGCTCGGAGCCGGCCGGAGCTGCGGGACCGTCGGGTGTGAGACGGCCCCGGGCTGGCGGGGAGCGGCGGCGCCGGGAGGTGGGTCCCTTCCCGAGGAGGGGGAGAAGCGGGGTTCCTTCCCGTGGAGGGCTGGAGCAAGGGGAGAGCTGGTCCCGCCGGGGAGGGGGTGTCACCCGTCCCCTCTGCTGTCCCCGCAGGCGCCGGGCTGTGGATCGTGTCCCTCTGGGGCAGCCTCCTGCTCGCTGCCGGCCTTGCCCTCCACCCTGCACCGCAGAGCTGCAACTGCACGGAGCCCATGGACTTCCAGGCTTTCCGGGAGGCTCCACTCCCTGAGAGCTGCTGCCTCAACTTCACCAGCTCCAACATCACCCACCTGGACTGGGGCGCGCTGGTGGGGGTGCAGGGGCTGCGGGAGCTCTACCTCTCACACTGCAGCATCACGGCCATCAGCAACGCGCAAGGAGTCCCCCCCGCGTTGGAGATCTTGCACTTAAGTCACAACCTGCTGGAAAGTCTCCCTGGAGGCTTCCTGGAAGATGCCCCTAATTTGAGGGTTCTTCATCTGGACAGCAACCAGCTCCAGGAGCTGCCCAAGTCCTTCCTGAAAGCATCGACCCAGGTCCAGGAAGTCTACCTGGGCTTCAATTCCCTGACCTTCCTTCCTGCCAGCCTCCTGAAGCCATCTCTGCTCCAGCTCCAGCTCTCCAACAACAGCTGGGACTGCAGCTGCGCTTTACTCAGAAACCTGGAAGGTTGGCCCAACCGGAGCACTGAGGTTATCTGCCACACACCAGAGCGGTACCATGGTGTGGACCTTCAGAGCATCCCCCGGGATGAGCTGTGCCCCTCACACAGCCTCACTGCCCTCTTCATCTGCCTGCCTCCTCTCCTCATCCTTGCCAGCATCACCTGGTGCTTCTGCAGGCAGAAGAGAAAGACCAACTACAGCCCTCAGAGCAGGTCCCAGAGCCACCTAGCTACAGTAGAAAGGGGCAACATGCCAGTGCCTGCAGAGCCCCACCACTATCTCCCCTATGAGCTACCTGCTGCCCCCTCCGAGACCGAAAAGAAGGTGCTGCTGGGAACCCAGGTCCTGCTCCAGCCCTCCATTGACCCGCTAGACAGCAGCAGGGACCTCTATGAGGAGGTGGAGATCCAGGTGGGATCCCCCAGCAGTTCCCAGGTGCCAGCCCACAAAGGGCAGCGAGGCACGGGGCCGGGCAGGCAGCAGGACACCCCGGCCCTGAGGGCAGAGGAGTTGGGGGGCAGTGAGCCTGAGGTGGACACTGTCAGCGTGAGCGAAGTCCTGAAGGACTCTGCTGACCGGGAGAAGATCTACATGAGTCAGTCAACCAACTATTACAACCTGGTACCTGGCATCGAGCTGGAGGACTCAGACAACCTGGAGTATGAGAGCATCGATCTGCACTGATGCCAGTGCACTCGGGCTGTGTCTTGGACACGCTGGGAGGATGGCAGGGGCCAGGTGGCAGTGAAAGCTGGCAGAGCAGGAGAGGCACGAGCTGGCCTGCCGTGGCTTACAGTGGCTGTTTGCAAAGCTGCACCCCCAAAGTCCCATCCCTTCCCCTGCACTACCACGTGCAACCCTCGCTTGCCATGTGCTGCAGCTGGGCAGGGGGTGCAAGGGTGCTTCAGGAACTGGGGACTCTGCTGCAGGCTGGCGGTGTTTGGGGATACACGGGCGGGCAGTGCCCGAGGAAGGAGGTGGAAAGGAGGTGTGGGGTGTTTTGGGGGGCCAGGTGACAATACTCTGTGTGCCAGACCCACTGACTGAGGCCTCCATCCTCTCTCACTGGAGCCAGGTGGCATCTGGCATGGACCTGCTGCTCCCCAGCTCGCAGAGAACCAAGTGTGGGGACATGAAACAGGGCTGGCTCTGCCTACGTGGTCTGCAGGGGGGTGTCATCTGTGGATGGGTTGCCCTAGGCTTGGCAGAGGGAGCCTGGCGTGGCCCTAGCTGCTGCTCACCCCACATCCCACCATGTCCCACCGTGTGGCACAGGGGCTTGAAACAGCTGATGGACGTGTGCTGCTGCATGCACAAGTGTGCTTGCACGCACATGCACGGGGACTGCACACAGGTGGGTGTGAGACGGTGTGCAATGTGCACACACACACACACACACAGGGAGGCACCGGAGGGGCCCCTTGCAGCCTCCCCTGCCCAACGTGCTGCCAAGCCCTGTAGGATCCAGCTCTTAATAAGAAATAAATCATTTTACTCCTGGAAGTGTGGCTCCATCCCTGTGTCTGCATGGTTTGGGGTGGTGGGCCCACCGACGGGACATGGGGGACAGCTGGGATGGGGGGCTTTGGTCCTACCCCACCTTCCCTCCCATGCCCTGGGTGATACCCCAGCAAGGGGATCCTCCAGCAGCCCTGGGGCTGCTTTGCTGGCCTGGCAGAGCAGAACTGAGCACTGGCTGGGGGTGAGAGGAGCCTCTGCCTTGCACCGTGATTTACAGCCCGGCCAGGGAAGGTGTCATCCTGCTGTAGATGCTGCATTTCCTGGCCAGGACAGGGACTTGTGGGGCTCCTGAGAATGGGTCAAAAGCTGGGGGTGCTGTAAATCACTCCCCTGCACAGGCACCTCCCCAGCGAGACTCACCCATCCTTCTCCGGGGATGGGGGCAGGCAGGCACCCTTCAGCCCTCTCCCCCCTGCCCGGGGGTACATTTCCCAGGCTGGAAGCCCCTGTGGCTGCCCTGCTCCGCACCGGAGCCGTCCCGGGCCTGGGCCGGGCGCTGTGCCCGGGCAGGAAGGGAGGGAGCCAGGCAGGGCAGGACGCAGACCTCCGGACGGCAAAGGAAGCAGCGTTTCCTGCGGAGCACGGCATGGCCTCCGGCAGCCCACGGCGGGACAAGCCATGGGCCCCAGCACTGCTCGGTCCCAGCCCCAGCACGGGTCGGGGACGAGGAGGGGATGATTTCCCTGCATGTCTCGCTGTCACTCATGGATGTTTCCCACTGGTTTATGTCCCGCTGGAATTTTTCCCTTCCCGGTCCCTCCCAGGCCCTGGGAAAGTGGCCCGGTGCCAGCCTTTAAAATGCTTCCATCACTCCCTGCCAGGTACTGCAGCCAGGGCATCCCGGCGTGCCCCAGCTCATGCCATCTCCAGTTTCCCCTTGGGAACGCGGAGGGACCGGGAGCTGCCATAGTGCCGAGGTGGGACAGGCAGGGGTCAGCCAGCTGTCCTCAGGGGCTGCAGCCTGGCTCATGGCCGCGGGCGCTGCCTGCTGCTGGCAGCAGGGACTTGGGCAGGGACAGGCACATTTTTCACCCGTGCTCCAGAAATATCCCTCTGTCCTCCCTGGGTGCTGGTTCTGTCCATGCGTCCCAGGGGTCCGGTTCCCAGGGCTGCCCAGAGTGATGCCACCTTCCTTTCCCCTCCTTCTCATGGAGACTCAATTCAGCCACCATCCTTGTCCAAAATAGATTCCCATGCAAGGCAGCAGGCTGCACCTTGTTCCTCCATCCCTGTCCCTCTGTGTCCCTGCTCCCCATGGCAGGGTCCCTGTCCCAAGGGGCACCCAGCAGCTGGGCACCACCGCTCAGTCCTTCTCCTCTGAGGAGAGCATTCAGAAGCCACCTCTGTCCCCTGTCTTTGCTGTGCTCAGGTGTCCCTGCTCTCCGTGGATGACATGTACCAGAACCTGCCCCCCGCCGTGAAGGACAAATACTGGAGTCCACGGCTCAGCCCCCCTACACCACAGTCACAGCTGCTGAGATCTTGAAGCCCTCATACATGGGCTCTACCTTCGACATGCGGTGAGTGCACCATACAGACCTGGGGCTGGAGAAAAAGAGGGTGAGTGCTTCAGGGTAGCAATAGCACAAGCAGGCTCATGCCCCCTGGGTCCAATTATAGTGAGCAAACAGCAACTCACCCCCCCGGGAGCACATTGCCCAGCCCCTGTGGTGCTCAGGAGCTGTGCTGGGTGACACAGATGAGCTGCTGGAGGAACGTGGCCTCTCAGAGCTGCTCCCTGCTTGCAAATGCACTGGGATGGAGGCGATGAGCGATGCTGGGCATCCAGAAGCAGGACATTGCCGGGGTTTTCACCACCCAGTCCCGAGCCAAGATGTGTCCCCAGGTTGATGGGAAGATCCCGGTGGGTTTGGGATCGGGCAGGCAGCCTTCAACACTAGCTGTTAGCCCCAGAACTGCAGGATTCATCCTGTCTGTGTGATGGTGCCACTGACTTGCAGTTGGTCAGGCTCAGTCCCTGCTCCCATGGCCCAGCGTAGGGGACAGGGGACAGCCCAGACCCCAAGCAAGGGACGGGACCAGGGCATTAGTCTTGCAGAAAACCAACACCGTGATGGAGATGTCCCCTTGATATTAATAAAACTATTGTTACCCTCAGCTTTGAGGTTCTTCCTTGTCGGTGCAAATCTTCCCCAGCAGCGAGGCAGCAGGGACATCACCTTCACCCAAAAAGCAGGTGAATTTGGATTTTGTCAAGGAGTGTCTGTGTTCTCCTGGGGCAAAAAGGGCACAGTCCCGTGGGCTGACAGCAGTGATGGTTGTGGGGTATTAGACCAAGTGATACAGCCAGAAAAAAAACAAAACAAAACAAAAACCAAAAGAAGTTTTTAGCCTCTGCAGAAGATTCCTGCACTCAAATGTGTTTCCCCTGAGAATATTACCAGAGCTGTTAAAAAATTCCCCTTCCTGCTTTCCCAAAGCCACCTTTCCTTTAAAGGTCCTGTCTTCCCCCAGCAAGCCAGCCCCGCTCCTCCTCCGCTGCCCTCTGGGCCTGTTAAAGCCTAACCACGACGTCATTTTCTGAAAATACCCCAAAGTTAATAACACGTGGAGCTGAGAGCGACACTCAACAGCAAGGAGCAGCACTCAGGGTGACGCGTGACCTCACTTGGGTTATGCTGCTGGTCGCTTATCGTATGAAAAGTAGCCTTTTTTTTTTTTTCTTTTCAAAATTCAGCCCTCTCACCTATCTGCAGAAATGGGTGAGGCCATCAGAGCAGGCTTTGGCACCTCCTAAAGCTGGCCAGACTGAAGCTGTGCTCAACCCCAGCCCCTGCCCACGGCTCCAAGGCTCAGCACCTGGCACGTTTGCCTCCTCCTGCCCATGGGGCTATGCCACGGCCAGACCAGAAGCCACGTGTCCTGTGGCTGAGCCACACGAGGTCCCACAGCCCGTGCCACCGTGGGAGCCAGGTGCCACACGCCCCTGGGCCGGCTGCCACCGTCCCGTCCCATGTCACACCTACAGCCCGGCTGCGGTGGGCGATAGGTGCCACCTCCATTCCCATGGGCCGTTGCCCTTGGCAGCCGCGTTTTTCCCGGGTAAGAACTTCCCGAGCAGCACCTTGATGAATTAGCCCCTAATCCTGCTCCTCAGGGGCCAGGTTTACAGCTCCTGCTCCAACACCAAGCCGATACTCGCTCCCTCACTCGCTCGGCTTCTCCAGCTGTACAAAGTCCCCCCAGAAACACCCTGAGTCCTGTTTGCACTCTGCGGAGGGTGAGAAGAAAGGCCCGCAGAGGAAGCCGCCGTGACACATCCCTCCCAAGTGCACTTTATCACCTCCACCCCACCTCTGGAAAGCAAGGCGTTGCTGGAGAGCAGGGAAAGTTTACCCCAGATCACTATGGAGAAGGAATGTGCTTGTGCAAACGTCCCACCCGGCCCAGGCCCTGCTGCCAGGGACTCCCGGAGCGTGGCTAGTGGCACCCAGCCAGCCATGGCAGTGCCAATGCACACCCTACCGTGCTGCCGCGGCCATCCAGGTAACAGGTACCGTCATCTGACGCGGTTGGGTGTCCCTTCTTCTGTGGCACAGCTCCATCCTCAGCTCCCTGCCAGCATGGCGGGATGAGCTCACACCACCATGGGCACCTGGGCCCGTTAGCACCTCCTGCTGCCACCCACGGCAGCCGGGTCACAGCATCACAGGAAGAACTTAAAAATATCAAGCACGAGCTATTGGTGGGGCAGATATGGGTCTCACCACAGCCCTGCTTGGGGCAAGATGATCACGGACCACCTCCTTCAGAGCTAATGGTGAAGCTGGGGCTGTAGGTAGTCTGCCTGGCACCAGAGTACTCCCAGGAATAAAATGAGGCTTTTGTAAAAACACACGAGCGGGGTGAAGCCTACAGTGTGTCCACTTGCCAGGTATGTCTCATGGTCAACATGCCAGAGGGACCTGAACAAGCCAGAGAGGTGGGGCCATGAAAATTTCACAAAGTTCAACAAGGCCAAGCGCAAGGTCCTGAAGCTGGGTCAGGACAACGCTCGCTATCAATACAGGCTGGGGGATGATGTGAGGGAGCAGCCCTGCAGAAGACTTGGGGCGCTGGTGGATGAAAAGCTGGCCATCAGCAAAGCACACTTGTGCCCAGAAGGCCAACTGCATGCTGGCCTGCATCAGAAGTGTGGTCAGCACATTGAGAGAGGTACTTCTCCCCCTCTGCTCTGGTGAGACCCCACCTAGAGTACTGTGTCCAGCTCTGGAGCCCTCAGCACAAGGACATGGACCTGCTGGAACAGATCCAGCAAGAGCCACAAGGATGATCAGAAGGCTGGACCTCTCCTATGAGGACAGGCTGAGAGAGTTAGGGTTGCTCAGCCTGAAGAAGGCTCTGGGGAGACCTTATAGCCACCTTCCAGCACCTGACAGGGGCTACAGGAGACATGGGGAAGGACCATTTGCAAAGGCATGTTGTGATAGGACAACGGGCAACAGTTTTAAACTAGAGAAGGGTAGGTTTAAATTAGACATTAGGAAGAAATTCTTTACAATGAGGCTGGTGAGACACTGGAACAGGTTGCCCACAGAGGTGTTGGAGGCCCCATCCCAGGAGACATTCAACATCAGACTTGATGAGGTTCTGAGAAATCTGATCTTCTCAAAGATGCCCCCGCTTACTGCAGGGGGGTTGGACTAGACGACCTTTAAAGGTCTCTTCCAACCCAACACATTCTATGAGATGTGTGAGTCTGGGTCTCCCACAGCCCTGGGACCAACCCTTAGCTGGGCTCTGAACTTCACCCCAACACCTGCCCAGGGCATTTGGCAACTAGGTGCAGAGATCCACCAGGCTGGCTGTCTTTGAAGACAGCAACCCCAAGAAACATCTCATGCCCCCAAAACATGCAGAAAAGCTTTTGTTCATTGCAGCTTTCCAGTCCTCCAAGTGACAGGGCAGAAAGCTGGAGCTTGTACCCAGCTTTCGAAAGGGACAGACCATGACAAGAGCCCGGCCCTTCTGCTAGAAGGAAATTTCTCTCGCACTGGAATGATACCAAGGAGGTCAGGGAAAGACCAGCTGGTCAACGACCAGTGCAGCCAAGTTTGGTTAAGAGATAACCAGACCCCAAAGACAATTGTTCAAGCAGCCAGGAAACACCAAGCAATGGTGCACCAACAGGAAAAGGGGGGACGTGCCCAGCCAGAGGCCAGCAGCTCCCCTAAAGCCAGTAATCTGAATGGGGGTGGACATTTGCACCCTCCTCCTGCTCGCAGGTTTCCAGTACTGGAAATTCTCCACTTGAGCCAAGTCTGATGACTCTTTTCCACACCCACTCGGTCCACTAGGTCACTGCCCTAGAGCCCAGGGAGATGTTTTAGTCGAGAACATGCAGGGTCAGAGCATGCCTGAAGACACAAGAGAGCTCAGGGATTCCAGGAGACATCCTTCTTCCTTCACATTTTAGAGGCAGAAGGAGCTGCACAAGCCCCCCCGCTGCCCCGCACGCACAAATGAGCACACAACCCCTTTCCTGTAATAGACTCTGGGTTTTATTCGTGCTCTCAGCAGAATAGTTTTTATTCATTTGCCTTTTCTGGCCTTGATCTTCCTCAGGTAGAACTCTAATTCCTTGCCTTCCAACACGTAGCCATCGGCTCGGCCACACTGTCCAGGTCTGGAGGCAATGCAGGCTGCAAGGAGAAGTCATCCAGTTAAAGAAGCTTAGTAATTCACCACCCCAGTATAAACCCCAAGTGGAACAAACACTGCAGGCAGCCTCTGCAAATGCAGGGAGGAGCAAGTCACCAGTCACAGACACACCAGTTTCCGTGCTGGCTTCAGCACCTCCCCCTCAGGCACCGTGCTCCATCTCTGCTGGACTGAGTCCCCTAATGAAGTCCTCTTCAGATCTCCAAACTGTCATCGTTTAAATTCAGTAGCAGAACTGGACAAAGGTCTCATCATCAGAAGACTTCAGAACACTGAACTATTCCCCAGAACTTGAAACGGCCACAGCCATTGTATGTTTGTAGGACATTTTTCTGACACACGGTGTAGCCCATTACTCATGGGCTTTTACTCATTTTTTAAGTCTTAAGCTCCATTATTTTTCTCAAAGATCAACCAAGAGTGATCAACTCCAGGAGCTTGGCTGGGACACATACCGATTCAAGCTCCAGAAACAGATTTCCCCTTCCTGCCTGAAGCAGGGTAACTCCAGAGAAGATAAAAGAAGTTATATTTACAATCCTGCAGGTACGGAGAACTCCCCATCACTTTCACCCTGCAGTTAGCTTTATCCCAGCTAGTAGAACTTCAAATGATACCAAGACCAAGATCTGCTCTGGCACCCTGTTTTCATCCAGACTCCCTTATCCCCACCCCCATCAATGCTGCCAGGGACTCACCAAGTAGCTTTCCTTGCTGGAACTGCTCCTCAAGAATACTTGCTATCTTGGCATTCTTCTTTCGCTCATCATATTTTTTCTGGATCTTCTTTGAACGCTTCTTGTTCAAGATTTCCTCCTCTTCAGGAGTCTAAAAACAAGACCATAAGCAAAGACGTGGTTAAGCATATGGCCACCTTCTGCTAACGCAGGTGGGTCTCCACAAACACCAAGGAGATGTTTGTATTCTCGGTGCTGTTTCCCAAGTCATACCTTCCATACTTCAACCTCACAGAACCAGGCGCTGTTTCACTTTTGAGGCCAAGAAAGGCAGTGTTGCTAACTAGAGTCACTGCTGACAACAAAGCTCAGTGCCCTAGGGAAGGGCGCTCTTAGACAAATGGAACTGCAAAGGTTTCCTCCTTGAATTAATCCTCCTCCAAAAAGGTGAATACTCCTTCCCCCTCCAGACATAATGAGCACCTGGGCGCAGTGCAAGCCCTGGCAGACAGGTTACAAGCTCTCCCTGCGCTTCTGAACTGCACAGTACTCAGCCAAAAAAGCTTGGTTTCTAATTCAAGGGGGACAACCTTAAACTACACGCAGAGGTTTAAACACCTTCTAGCAGTCCGGGGTTCGGATATGAAACAAAACTGAAGGCAATCCACAAGGTTCTCATCAAAGCAATCACTCCCCAGCACGAGGACCTGACCTGCAAAGTCTTCCTCAGCATCATAACGTGTCATCGCTCTCCATTCAGTAGCAGAACTGGACAAAGGTATCATCATTAGAAGACCAAAGAGATCGACAGGCAGGTCCTTGTGCACAAACGGGGGCAATGCCTCAGAGCGCTCCGTGGTACTGAGGACTCTGCTACCAGAGCCAGACTCATCTAGGAGCTGACAGGAATGCAGCCCACATAACCAATGTTATCACCGATGGGTACTCAGCCCTCTTCTGGGAGGCACTGCCCGCTCCCAACAGCTGACTGCCTCTAGCAGAGGACAGACCCTACTCCACAAGGAGTCAAAATGACAATGACAATCCCACACGTACCAGTTTGGCGCCCTTCTTGCGTCCGAGGGGCAGAGCATAGTGGGCTTCATACCACTGCCGGTACGGGGTGCTGTCAATGAGAACGATGCAGTTCTTCACCAGGGTCTTGGTCCGCACCAGTTCGTTGTTGGAAGCATTGTAGACGACATCGATGATTCTGGTCTTGCGAGTGCAGCCTTTCAAAAGAAGAGTATGAATTCAAACCTACAGGGATCAGACAACTGAGAACAGAGTCCACAGCATTTCACCCGTACCCTCAAATCATCTCACACTCGTCACCCCATCAAATGTCCTCCAGCTTCCCCGACACTGAATTACATTTAATTAAGAGATGCATCTACTTTCCAGCAGTCCAACCTTCTGTGGCTGGGTCAGAAGCCTACACCTAGAAACTGATTCACCCCAGGAGAAAAAGTAGAATCTCTGGCTTTGCTGGAAATCTCCTCAAAAAGACAGCAATGCTAAAAAATAAATTTCTGGATTGAAAGATGCCTCAGCAGATACCAACTAACATCACACACAGGGCTCAATCCTGTACGTGCTTCCTAGAATAACTGAATTAAGCTGTGTTGAATGGGACAGTTCTGCAACACATCCTATAAACCATACCCCCTTACTAACTGCTGGCTTTACCATCGTGCTGAGTAACCCGGGCCCAAGTTATAGGGTTTTCAATGTGGAGAAAATCCACCTTGCTCAGGGGAAACGTTAGAGACTCCCCTCTCGCATCCATGCTTCCCGCTTTTGCTTACCAAAGCAGGAGTGTGAAACGGACAGCACATGCCACGATTCTGCTGAGGAGGCCTGGCCCCAGGACAAAACCCTCAACACCTTTCTCTCTTGTGCAGAACCACCTAACTTTTGGTAAGGTTCATTAATAAACAGAAGAAACTGCATTTATGAAGAACCACCCATAATTAGGGTTGGCTTTTTTTGCCTTCTGCAGTTCTCCCCCAGTAAAAAGCTAACGCGAGCATGTCACTCAGGGTAACTATGACACTCCAATCACTGTGAGCTTAGCAGACATCCAAGTCTTCTAAGGCCACCTAAGGTCAAAGTTCTCATCACTATGTATGCTGTTTCAGATCCAGCCTACAAATCCACGCTTGCCTCATCATCCCACTGCTCTGTAGCAGGACCTGGGACCAGCACAGCTGTAAAAGACTTCTCCCTTACAAGGTACTTACATTCCGATCCCCAGGAGAAGTTGCCAACGTCCAACCGAAGGGCACGGTACTTCTTATTTCCACCACGAACTCTCACTGTATGAATTCGGCGTGGGCCAATCTATGGTCAGAAACAAACACCAGGGTGTCGGTGGTGCTGGAACACTGCATACCTCCTGCAGGAGCCCAGACAACTCCGAAGCTTAAAGGCAATGTGGTCAGTGTAACTATGACAAACCCCAGCATCGGCAGACACAGTGAGTGACCAAAACGGTCTGTTGCATCTACCTAAGGTGAAAATTTCATCACTCCAATTGCCTCTTATTACAAAAACCTCTCACTGCTTCCCGTAGGCACAGGAGAAAGCACCACCTTTTAAAGAAGCAGTGACAGGTATTTAAAAACTCATGAAATATAGAACATATTTCAATCACCCACCTTCGTGTTGGCAGGAGGTCGCCCCAGCTCATACTTCCTCTTCTTGTGGTAGGGCTTCCTCTTGCCCCCAGTCTTGCGACGCTTGTGCCAGTTGTCCCGGGAGATACCTGAAGGGAGAAGGCACAGCGCAGTGAGGGGCTGGCACAGAACCCACGTGGCCACGGCGAGGGCACGGCTCTGAGTCCTCAGCTCTCCAAGGTTGGTATCCGCACAGTGCACTCAGCCTTATGCAGCAGTCAGAGAAGCTTCATCATTGATACTCAGATCCGCCTCCTCCCCTCCAGCAGGGCTGCACAAAGCAGGCAGGCTCCCTCCACCGCGCCTGACGGACGGGCGTCCCCCCTTCGGGAAGCCTCCCAACCTACCTCACGTGCTGGGCAGCCTCTGGGAAGTGCCCCCATCCCAAGCTGCCAGGCACCCTACGGGAGATGCCCTGCGTTATCCTCTGGGTCTGGCAGATCCTATGGAAAGGAACCCCCATCCCACCCGGCTTCTGGGCCCCCCTGAGACACCCCAACACAAACCCCCTTCTCCTACCCGGCCCGCTGGGTCCCCCGTAAGGACTATTTCCCCATCGTACGCCATCTCCTCTTTCCCCTAAAAGCCCCCACCAACCATCTTAGGTATAGGGCCGCCCCCCACCCCACCCCTTTCGCTGGGTCCCCTAGGAAAGCCGTCCCACCTTATCCCCGGGGTTCCCTGCAGGAAACGCTCCCTCCACAGCCCCCGACCACTACGGCCCCAGCGCCACGGACAGCGAGTCCCGCGGCGGGGGCCTGCAGCGAGGAGAAGCAAGGCGAGGCCGCCCGCCCGCCCCCC